CGCGGGCGTGAAACATGGTTTCGTGGGGGAGCTGGAGTCGGCATAGGCGACGGTCGTGGCCATGGGCCACTTCTCTGCCTCCCCTTCCCTCGGTCGATTTATGGTAGCGGGTGCCTTGTTTGCCCCTGTTGCTACGTCCGGACGATTCCTGCCACGGGCTGTGGAGGTTGTCCCCTCCCGCGTGGCTACTGTTGCCGCCGCTCCTCATTCCTGGTTGCCTCCTCTGTTCCCGCCGGTCTCGCTTTGTTTGCCACGATGAGACGGCGATGGGGACTGCAAGGCCGTCGTGGCGCATGTTGGTGGGCGGCGTGTTTGGTGGCGCGTGATAGATCGTCTGGAGTCGTGGGTGGTTGGTGGTCAGGAGGAATCCTTGTCGGCTTGTCCAGCACCGACGCGGGGACGCCTGTGGGCGCCGCCATGCCTTCCGGAAGGGCGTCGGGTTTACCCCTTCCCCCGCACTCCTCCGCGTACCGTGAGAAACCCTAGGACTTGTCCGGGCAGCAGCGTCGTCGGCGTCGCGATCCTTCTTGAAGGTGTTGCTTGGTATGTGGCGGTCCTAAGTGCTTGGAGTGTGGTGGAATTCTTCGGTGGGCGCAGTGGTTGTGGATCTTCATCGTTTCGTTGATACGTCGTTATTCGCATTTGCTTCTTTTTTGTTTTCTCTTTCGTTTCTTTTGGGCGTGACTGTGCTGCTTTCGCCTCAGCACATATCGTTGCTTGTATCGATGATGGTTGCTTTGTAATAAAAAGTGGGGGACACCCTTTTCCGTATTGTGTCTTCTTGGAAAAAATGGCTGGTCAACATTTCACTCCATTAAATCCGTGCAATCAAATGTACCGCAACAATCGGTCTTGTAAATGCAACTCCAAGTGCATACGCTCCTAAAACTTTTCATAGTTAGGGTATCATAGCAAATAGTATCATGCATATCAACTAGATAATTTTGTAAGGTGACATACCATTAAATAAAGAAGAAAAAGGTTTGATATGTGTTATGCAGGACAGTGAATGAAGTTTTCTAAAATACTAAGCTATGATACTATCTGCTACGGTATTACATGCATGATACTCCCTCGGTTCACAAATGTAAGATGTCTTGAGTATTTTAATATGGACTACATGTAGAATGGAGTGAGTGAACAAACATACTAAAATGTGTCTATATATATCCAATTTCGAAGATCTTTTAAACATCTTATATTTATGAAGGTCGGAGTACATGATACTCCTCACTAAGAGCACTAGCAACTTGTTTACCGTCACTTCATGTCGTTTCATGTTGGAAGGTAATACGGATGGGCATGCAGGTGGAGCAAGCACCTACCTATCCCTACCCGGCTGTTCGATTGCCTCGCGATCCATAAAGTGGTTAGATCCTGCACAAGGACATAGTAAGTTTGAAGTTCTAATTTTTAAAACTTACGAGATTTTGTCGGTCGCTCATATCAAGTTACAAGAGTTGAATCTTAATAAAATTGAAAAACTCGCCAAAACATATTTGAAACGGGCCTTATTTGAAGGGAAACACTTACCATCACCCGGCGGATCACAGCGGCAGCGCCCACCACCTTTCCTGCGTGACACGCGTCTAATTGAGGGCTCGCATACTATTCTTTCTTGTACTCTATTCTGCAACAAGAACTATGCTTCTGAAACATATGCGATGTTAGAATGCTTTAGACGGGTCTTCGTTTTGCAACAAAACTCTTCTTATAAAAATTTTGTGTAACAAGACCTCAGTTGCAAAAAAAAAATTACAACAAAACCTTAGTTGCAAAAAAATGCAACAAAACTGTTGTTGTAAAAAAATCTACAACAAGATCTATGTTGCAAAAATAATTCCACAACAAAACCTATGTTGCAGAAATAATTCTGTAACAAGACCTATGTTGCGGTAGTGAAGACGCGTTCGGCCGATGCGGTAAATCTAACGCCTCGCGACCCGGCTGATCTTTTTAAAAGATCAGCCGACAGACGCGTAGCACACCCCTTATTTGAAAGGGCTAGTCACAAGAAACGTGCATAAAGACATAACTTAATTTAGACTTTTTGCTTCAAAGATATAAAAAAATAAAAATCAGAAACCGAACGTACAAGCGCCCGCGAGGGGTCGGTGCCCCCGCACCTGCTTGCCACAAATCCTCTTCCTCATGACCGGGCCATGAGTAGGTAGCATTCTTAAAATGCAATGGGGACATAATTAAGGACCTTACAGTTTCGAAAGCCCACTTGCCCGTGGATCCATCCCATCGTTCTTTTTAATGCGGAACACTGCCGATCGACTCCATTGCCTACACGAGCTACTACCAAACACGCCAGCAATCGTAAAAAGAGTGGTGGGTGAGTGCTCATTTTTAAATCATAACATGGACACGTTCTACTCCCTTCGTCTAGGTGAGTAAGTCATCTTAGGTTGTGCACCGTGACCAAAGAGGAGGAGAAAACGAGAAAACTTAATGTTCATTTGCTAATTAATAGCATTGAATGCAATGAACTAACCACTGCATGTCGTGTTTGGTAGTCTCAAGTCATTAAAAGTATGCACACCCCACATCTCTTATTGGTTGATATGTCAAGAAACAAGAAACGAGGTAGAATTTAATGCATCACGCCTAAGTGTTTTGGGATTATTTGGTTTTTGTAAGATGACTTACACACCTAGACGGAGGGAGTACTCTTTTCGCCGTGGCCAAACGATGGTTCTGCGTGTTCCGTTTTCAAACAAAGCAAAGTAATAATTCATGGGGCGATCGGGCACGCGCGTGACCCAATGGGATGAGAGCTCCATTGTCCCAACTTGCGCGATGAGGCGGCTGGGGTCAGGACCAGTGGGGCAACATCAACATTTGCAAGGATTGTCGGATCGAGCTAGCTCGATCAAGATCCCAACTCGCCGCCCTAGCTACCTGCAAGCATTCATGCGTGTGTGCATGTTTGACTGTTCCCCCACGTCCGTCTGTTCGATATAGCGCTCTCCACCACTCTGGATCCGGCATGGCCGCGGGATCGTACGTTAATTGCACCGTGGATACTACCTGCACCCGTCCACTAGGAATTTATATCGTATGCAGACCCGATCTATAGACTTGCCTAGCTAGTGTGCTGTTCATGCATGCATGCATGTGATGGGCCGCTTTATTATTTTGGACCTATAAGGTGGCACCATTTCTCCGATAGATTGTTCCTCTCCTTTCTCCATCTCTTTTTTTTTTATCAAACTTTCTTCTCCTCCGTTGTTTGATGAAACACAAGAAATATTATCGCCACCTTATTTTCATATAAATTGGACCTAGTGAGCCATCTTACGTCCAATATATTCATACAGCGCGACGTACACGGGGCAATGAGAGCATATGTCGGTCGTTCGTGGAAAGCTATATCGCACAAAAAGACATCCCTTACAATCCATGCTTCTCTTCATCGGCGTTTTGTTAGGTTTTGTGTCTTGCTCGGGAAGACAAAACGGCGGCGTTTCTTTGAAGATGGAATAGCATCATCGTAGGCGTGTGAAGATGTGTCTTCAGTGGATCCATCCTTGGTGAATTTACTCGGTTCTGATTGTTGTTCTTCTATGTTCATGTGTTTTTAGGTTAGATCCTTCCGATCTACGCTACTCTTCATAGGCGGCGGTTGCTGTTCTGCTCGCTGGTTCTATGTGGACTTAGCATGACGACTTTTCGACTGTCTACTACAACAATTTTTGCCCGGCTCCGGCGAGGGAATGGCAATGACGGTGGCGCGCCTTCGGTTCGCTTCAATACTTGTAGTCGTTGCTGGGTGGTCTACAGATCTGGATGTAATTTTATTATTTCTGGTGTTCATTGTACTGCCATGATTGAAGATGAGTATATCGAAAGTTTTCTTGCAAAAAAATATATTTTGTCCAGCTCCGGCGAGGGAGGAGCGATGACGGTGGCTTGCCTTCGGCTCGATTCAGTGCATTGTATTGCCATGATTAAAGAGGAATAGATCAGAAGTTTTCCCAGTGAAAAATAAACATCCCCTCGAACCAAAAAAATAGGGTCGCGCTAACTGCCACATGTGTGGCAGGAAGGGAGACGCACCACACCTCTCTAATGTAAATAAATTGCCATGTCATCGCATGCATGCATGCAGGAATCTTTTTAGATTTTCAGTTTTTAAAATGTTTTATCTCTTAAACGAAAAATCCGATTGAAAATCCGTTTTCACCATTAAATCCCTCGCGATGAGATCTTCGAAACTAGATCTCATGTTGATATGTTTTGATGAAAAAAATTAGATTAAAAGTTGCCATGTCTATTGCATATGAATTGCCATGATGTTTACACTGAAGTTGCCATGATATGTTTCAGCTATTTTCTTCTACATTTAAAAGTAAATTTTGACATTTATAAAACGAGGAATTAAGAAAACTAAACTTGCCATGAACCATAAACTAAAATTGCCATGATACATGCACGTAAAATTGTCATGGTTCATACAAAAAATAATTTTCATGGTCAAAGTACTGGAGTTGCCATCATCAAAATACTAAAATTGCCATGATCTACAAACTAAAATTGCCACATGGCAACTTTAGTTTAAGCCACATGGCAACTGCAGTGTAAACATCGTGGCAACTTCTGGCAAAAAAAAATTCATCAAAACATATCAACATGGGGTCTAGTTTTGAAGATCTCGTCGAGACGGATTTAATGGTGAAAACGGATTTTTAGTTCGCTTTTATTTAAGAGATACAACATTTTTAAGCCGAAAACCCAAAAAAATTCTACTGATATCATCTATTCATACGTGGCAAAATAAATGGTGATGAAGACGTGTGGGCGATGTGCAAACACCCACACGTGTGGGCGTTAACATTTCCGAAAAAATATACTCTTAAATTGAGGAATTTTTTTTCTCAAAAACAATAGCTCAGCCTCTGCAACCTGCAACATAGGGTAAATAGGTGCAGTACAACAATGCCGTAAGCAGCGCATGCACGCCGAGCGAGTTTTCAAACAAAGGTGTACTGCCTTCACCGCCGAAACTCGTTGCCCCATACTTTAACAGTTGAAGCCAGTGTTGTCCTGCTGCAAGACACGACCGAATACAAAAACTTAACCACAGTTCCCACACATGTTGCACAAACATATTTACTATATTTTTATTCGCAAAAATAACAGTTATTTTAGTTTCTTTTTTTTCTTTTTTTTTTGCAGGGAAGTTCTTTTAGTACCTTGAAATTACAAAGTTGCAGTCGGTGAGCCGTGTACACGTACAAAACGGACTTCAATTTTGTAAGATTCAATTAATAATGCAAATACACCAAATCAACATCATTGGCCTGTACTTGTAGCCTACTAGTACTAAGTAAGGCATGAAGCTAGGATTCCTTAAACCCTCTCCCATGCGGCATGATCCAAATCTAGACAGGTATACAATGCACGTAATTAAGTAAAGCAGAGAGCTCCCCCTCACATGTCCTTGTCGATTTCGGGCAGCTGCACGGGGTAGCGGGCGATGCACTCGGCCCACGGCCCGTCGGCGTCGCCGGCCGGCTTGACGCACTCCCACGAGACACTGTTGCAGTCGAATCCGGCACCGAAGGAGATCATCCACACCCTGTCGTCCTTCTTCATCCGGCCCTTGGCCTCCAGGTACGCCAGCTCGTAGAGGACCGAGCTGCTGGATGTGTTGCCGAACCTGTGCAGCGTCATCCGCGACGCCTCGACGTCGTCGTCGGAGAGGCCGAGGCCGTCCTGCACCTCGTCGATCACGCCACGCCCGCCCGCGTGGATGCAGATGTGCTCGAACGCAGTGCGGAAGTCCGGGCGATACAGCCTCACCTTGGCGCGCCCTCTTAGGAGCCTCCGTTTGAGCAGGGACAGCGCGACGAGGAGCTGCTCCGTGGCCGGCAGGACGAGGGGCCCGAAAGCCGCGATGTTGTTCTTGAGCGCGTAGCCGGCAGTGGTGGCGAGGTCCTTGGAGAGGCGGATGCCGGTGTTCCCCTTGTCGTCCTCCTCCTGGAACACGCAACGGTAGTCGGCGTCTCGTGCGGCGGTGACGGTGCGCACCACGCGCCGGAGACGAAACCGCGCCTCACTCGGGGAGTTGGAGAGGATCATGGCCGCGGCGCCCATGCGGAAGAGGCAGTTGGGCAGCAGCATCGCACGCTCCGTGCCGACGTAGTACTGCGACGAGAGGATCTCCGTGGACACTATCAGCACGCGCGTGTCTGCCGGCGCCACCTGGAGGATTTTCCTGGCGAGGCCGACCGAGACGAGCCCAGCGCTGCACCCCATCCCCGACAGGTTCATGATCTTCACGTCGGAGCGGAGCTTGTACTTGTTGACGACCATGTCAGCAAACACCGGAACCGGCGTGAAGATGCTGCAGTTGACGATGAGCACGTCGATGTCGGCTGGCTTGATCACGGCCGTCTTGGCGAACACATCGTCGACGGCGGCGAACATGACCAGCTCGGCCTCGTCCCGGGACGCCTTGAGGCTGCGGTCCGGGGGCATGTAGTGGTACGCGTCCGGCACGCATGTCTCCTCGCCGAGCCCGGAGCGCTCGAGCAGCCGCATCGCGAAGGCGACGCTCTCCTCGTCGACGAGGTACGGCATGAGGTGCGCATGCTCCAGACACGTGGCGAACGGCGTGCGGTAGCAGGGCTTGGGCCGGAAGCATCCGTACTCCACGAGGTACACATCCCGCAGCCGCCGCATGCGCCGCATCTTCTCCAGGGCCGCCGCCAGGATCACCGCCAAGAAGACGTAGACACGCGGCAAGGTGAGCATCTGGTCTAGGATCTCTTCGGGGCGAATGAGCCACGCCCTCCCGACCACGGCGGCAGCGACGGCCACCGCAAAGACCCCAAAGAAGTTGTCCACGACAAGTCGGCTCACCATCATGAGGAATTTGACGTGAGGTGACGAGCCCATCGCGTGTATATCCTCTTCTTTCTCGTAGTTGGACTAGCTGAACAAATGTGATGTGAGAGCGTGGAGAGGCAGTGGTGTGGTTTAAAAGGCGCGCGAGGCCGCGAGACGTGGGGCATTTCCGGAAGCAAGAATAATTTCTATGGTTCGAAGAGTGTCTATTATTAAAAGAGAGCTAATAGAGTTGGTGGTCGTATCGTATGTGACGTCTTCTCTCCCTACATCCTGGATTAACTCGGTTAAATCAGATCAAATCTTTTTACAGAGTCCCTTGGTACGTAGTACAATCGATCAAATCATTGTATCTATGTGCTCTTACTCGTAGTACGCTGTAAGACGGACTGAACAAATGTGAGGTGAGCGTGGAGAGGCCGTGGTGTGGTTTAAAAGGCGCGCGAGACGTGGGCATTTCCGGAAGCGAGGATAAGTTCTATGGAGTGTACTACTAAAATGGGGCCAGAGCAGCGGCGCAACCGGCAACTGCCAGCGAGTAGTTTAAATGCGTTGCCCAACACAGAAAAGAAAAGAACCGGCCGGCCGTCACACAGGTCCACTTTTCTCCGAGTGACTTTTTTTTTCTTTCGAGAGTTTGGCATACCTTAGCTTTATAGAAGGCAGAAAGTATAATTACAAGACACCATTGCGAGATGCGAACATCTCCAATGGCACACCCGACACCACACCAACCAAACACGTCTAGGCTACTCTCTCAGAAAAGGATCTAAACCACCTACACCTAATCCGGCCGCTCTCCAATCCTTGAGCTCTTGAAGTACCTGCTCGACTAATTGCGGCGGAGTTTTTTGCTGATGAGGTCGATTAAACAGTCTTGCATTCTTTTGCTTCCACAATGCCCAAGCCATCCCTATGATGAATGAGTCGAATCCTCGGATTGACCTGCCTGTGAAATTCCTTCTTTGTTGGAGCCACCAATCTTGAAATGTGCTCTCGTTCGTCGGTGGGTCGATGTTTAGCTGAAAGAAATCGAAGCACCGATGCCAAGCCTCCCTGGCGTAGACACATTGAACGATGATGTGGTCAATGTTGTCCTCCTCTTGCAAACACGTGAAACAAGCTGATGGCTGGTCTTGAAGCCCATGCTGGCCTCGCCTATCTGAAGTCCAAAGTCTGTATTGAAATGTTAGCCAAGCAAAGATTTTGCACTTCAAAGGTGCCCAGCTCCTCCAGATGCACGGTGCCGTGGGTGATCTAGTAAGCCCCTGACATAACCTGTGATACACCGATTTTGCCGTATAGACACCTGAAACATCGGCAGGCCAAGCGAACTGATCTGCCTGGTCTTCAATGCGAGGTACTGTGGTGATCGTGAGGCATAGATTTGCAATTTGAATGTGCACCGTGAAGGATATATCACCCTGTACATCCAGCGCCCACGCGTTGTTGGTCAAGGCATGTCGAACTGTTCTAGAATTGCGGGCTCTAGTGTTGACGAACTCCATGATTGTTGGAGCAATTTCTTCCACTGTAAAGCCGTGGATCCACCTATCTCTCCAGAAGAGTACACGGTCGCCATTGCCCAAAGAGATCTTAACCAAGGAGTTGAAAACCATTCTAGCCTCCTCGTCATCCACCATAGGTATGCCCTGCCATGGCCTCGCCGGGTCTGTACGACGCAGCCATTCCCATCTAACTCTGAGAGCAATCGCCTGTAGCCTGAGGTCCTTCACCCCCAAGCCGCCAAAATAAGTTGGCCTACACACTGTCTCCCAGGCCACAAGGCATAAACCGCCGTTTTCCTTCTCCTTTCCCGCCCAAAAGAAGGCGGGCATCCATTTCTCAATCTCCTCAAAGACCCAGATCGGCGCATCCAGCACCAGGGGGTGGTGTATCGGCCTAGCCGATACCACAGACTTTACTAGCACGAGCCTGCCGGGCCTTTGAATCAGACCTCCTTGCCATGCCGGGATGAACTTCCTCGCTTGGTCGACCAACGACTGCCAATCTCCTCGAGTGAGTGCTTTAATCGCGAGTGGGATGCCCAGCTATCTGCATGGGAACATCCGCATCTGACAGTGCAGTATGTTGACTACGAGGTTTCTCTCCTCCTCCGTTCCCCTGATCAGGATCGCCGCCGATTTAGTGTAGTTGATCCTCAACCCGGAAGGGATGCCAAATGCATCCAGGACAACTCTAATGCAGGTGAGATCCTGCGATGGTGGCCTGACAGTACTGCCACATCGTCCGCGTATATGGACAACCTCTGAAAGGGCGAAATACCACGAAACGAGCTGAGTGTGCCTGCCTCCATAGCCTTGCAGACCAGTGCCGTGAGCGCGTCCATAGCTATTACGAACAGCAATGGTGAGACTGGATCGCCTTGTCTCAACCCTTTGGCGTGGAAGATTTGTCGTCCTGGCACCCCGTTGATGATGATTTTCGTGCTCGCCGTGGACAGTAAGGCGATGACCCATTGGATCCATCTATCACCAAATCCTTTTCCTCTCAACACCTCCGTCAGGAAAGCCCATGAGAGCGAGCGAATGCCTTGGAGATATCCAACTTAAGGAACAATCCATGGGTCTTAGAGTTGTGAATTTTGCGGGCCACCTGACGGACTAGAAGAAAGTTATCGTGGATGCTTCTACCCTTGATGAATGCGGATTGGTCGGAGTTTACAATCTCGTGCATCCTCTTGCGAGCCCGAGTTGCGAGCAGTTTGGCGAACAACTTGGAGAAGCTATGGGGAAGGCTGATTGGACTGTAGTCACCAACCTCAATGGCATCGGCCTTCTTCGGGATCAGCACCATGTGAGCTTTATTAAGCCTACTAAATCCCCTGTAGTCCCCCACGAAGAGCTTTAGCAGCGCAACCATGATATCCTTCTTGATCACCGACCATGGTTTATGATAGAAGAGTCCAATGAAGCCATCAGGACCGGGCGCATGATCGAGTGGGATCTCCTTGATAACCTCCCAAACCTCTTCTTCCGTAAACATTTCTTCGAGCTCAGCAAGATCCACTTGTGGCATGCCTAGGTAATTTAGGTCGAGCGTGTGGTCTCTGGCCACCGCCTTGCCCAACAGACTGTGATAGGCCTCCGAAAAAATCTCCTCCATTCTCCCATGATCAGTGGCAATCTCTGCACCATACTTGACTTTAGGGATGAAATTCTTGGATCTTTGACCGTTGGCCACCGCCTGGAAAAGTTTTGTATTAGCGTCCCCTTCTTTTAGCCATCTGAGACGCGATCTTTGCGCTCATGGTTCTCTCGAGCGAGGCTAACCCAAGTAGAGTGAGCTTCAAGGTTCTTCGTAGCCAGATGTCCATGTCAGTCAGGATCCTCTCTTCCTGCACCTGGTTGAATCTGAATATCAGCCAATTTGCCACTGTCATGAGGATCTTGATATTGCCCGTCTTCCTCTGTCCCCATGCCTGAAGATAAGTCATCGCATTTCTGAATAAAGCATCGAGCTTTTTGAAAGGGTCCACAATGGACTCATCGCATACCCACGCGTCCCGGATCGCTTCATCAAAACCATCGAGCCTTGTCCAATACACCTCGAAGCGAAATCTCTTCTTTTGATAGAAGTGGGCGTTGGTGGATAGGTGCAGAGGCGCATGATCTGAAACTCCCGATGATAGCACCTGTAGCAAGTTCTCTGGGTGTGCTAACTCCCAGTCAACCGAGACTAACACCCTGTCAATTTTGGTGAGCGTCGGAGTACCCCTCTCGTTGGACCAAGTAAATGACCGACCGTGCATGTACAGCTCCTTTAGCTCATGGGTGTCCAAAAAACCTCTGAACTTTGCCATCATCGCCCTGTTGATGTTGGTGTTGTTTTTCTCCATCGCTCGAAGGATCATGTTAAAGTCTCCGAGAATCATCCACGGCCCCGGGCAGACAGCCCTCCTGGCGCTTAGATCATGGAGGAACTGGGTTTTTGGCCTGTTCCCTTGCGGCGCATATACCACAGAAATCCACCATGCCATCCCGTCCTTGTTGTGAACACATCCGGTTAGAAAGTTAGTGTCAAGTTGAATCTGGTCTATGGTAATCACCGTGGTGTCCCAAGCAAGAAGAACACCCCCATGAGTCTCCACCGCAGGTAAGTAAGCAAAACTGTCAAGCGACAGGCCTAAACATTGCATAGCCATGAAAGGGTCCATAACATCCAGCTTGGTCTCCTGGAGACACACTAAGTTAACCTTGACCGAGGCCAAGAACTCCCCAACCGCCTTTTTCTTCGCAGGATTGTTTAATCCGCAAACGTTCCAACATAAGATCTCTGGGTTGCACTCCATAAGTAACCTCGTTCAACACCCACACCAGCCAAACAACATCAAACCACCGAGACGGCCTCGATCCTTCCACTCGCTAGCTCCTCCGCCAGTGGCAATGTTTTGCCAAACAGCGCCGCGAGCACGCGCACATGTTGCTCTCTCAGCGGGGAGTCAAACAGCCGCTTAAGCTCAATCACAGCCTCCTCGTTTGGCACCATGTTGTCAGGGACCAACCCCAAGGTGCGCAACAACACATTTTCCGCAGGTTTTGCCTTAGCCATGGACGCTGTGTTGGGGAACGTTGCATAAAAGAAAAAAATTCTACGTTCACCAGGATCAATCTATGAGTTCATCTAGCAACGAGAGAGAGAGGAGTGCATCTACATACCCTTGTAGATCGCGTGCAGAAGCATTCAAGAGAACGGGGTTGAGGGAGTCGTCCTCGTCGTGATCCAAATCACCGGAGATCCTAGCGCCGAACGGATGGCACCTCCGCGTTCAACACACGTACGGTCAGCGTGACATCTCCTCCTTCTTGATCCAGCAAGGGGGAAGGAGAGGTTGATGAAGATCCAGCAGCACGACGGCGTGGTGGTGGATGTAGCAGGGTTCCGCCAGGGCTTCGCCAAGCGACTACGGGAGGAGGAGGTGTAGCAGGGGAGAGGGAGGCGCCAAGACTTCAGGGTGCGGCTGCCCTCCCTCCCCCCTTTATATAGGCCCCCTGGGGGGGGCGCCGGCCCTTGAGATTGGATCTCCCAAG